CCCGCGCTTTCGCGGTCGAACGCCTGCTAAATCCTGGTGTTAAATTTAGTCCTACCTACTGTTTAACTCCTTCTGTGCAGAATATACATTTTTCCTCACAGTTTGGGAGCTCAAGGGCGAAAGCCTTCTTCCATTAATAATAAAGTGACTTTGGCCTTCCGGAGACTTCTCCCATCTCCTAAGGAACCGGGCCTGGAAGATCGCAGCTGTTAGGCTTAACTCTTTTAGCCTTAGCACTACGCGAAAGTTGCCTCCGGAGTCGTGGATGACTAAACGTAGCAGTACCCACCATGCACCCTGCAAGCATTACAGCTGAGCTCCAGAGCAGCGAGTTAACCGTGGTCATATCTGTCACACTCGCTGCTGGCTCACTGCGGCGAATATGGATAAAGTTACGCGCAACCGTTCAATGTGTAACAAAGACCGAATAATTTGCTGAGGTCTGGCGATAAATATCTACTTACAGAATTGGTAATCTGGATTTTTTAAGTTCCTTTAGAATAACTGCCAGCTGCAAACCCAACTGGATGGGGATCAAGAACTACAGTCATACAGAAAGCTGGTAGCAAGCTCTATTCTGTCCCTAAAGCTATCATCTAGGTGTAAAGTATGTTTGTCGAACCAATTAGACGGCAGGAAAGAGATAGGAACAAGGGTTTTAGCAGGAATAAATCACAAACATGGCAAAAATGTGCACTCCAAAAGAAACAGAAAACGGCTGCAATGGGCAACTTACGCGATGTTGACATTTCATGAGGTTTGGTCTCTGCTGCTCCGGTTTTCGTGTAGACGATTAAGCCAATTCTACAAAATAAAGAAGCATATTATATCACAGTAACAACTGAGGCCCGTTGTGTTGGCCAGACACACGGTGTTATTTTAAATAAGTGGGCTTAAAAAGAGGTGTGTGGCAAGGCTAATCACTCAAGCTAGACGTAAACAAGAATACTTGGTGACAATCCTAAGCATTGAAAGAGCATTATAACTGTAGTCCAGGCAGGTTTCCTTATTTTTTAATTAGCAGACTCAAAAATCAGTCCCAGGAGTTTATTTAAGTTTCATGGAGCAATGAATACTAAATCACGATCATATACTGCGAATTTGCGCTGTCTTAGTGACGTTCAGCTTTCCTGAAAAACAATACCTGTACGTAGTTCCAGCGGAGAGGGGACCATTGTAGCAGTGATCACAGGTCTGTGAATCTGAGGGATTTCCAATTATGAAGTCGATGTCATCGTGCTTGACAGGGACACCTTGTGAGTTGTTCAGAATCACAACTTCCCAAGGGTCCCGCATAGTACTGCTGTAGCTCTTTTGAAGGATAAGAAACAGAAGAAGATTAAGTAAGTTAATCGCTGCGGCTG